TAAAAGATAATTCTTACACCCATTAAATTGGCATTCAAATATTCGTTGATGCAATATTTAACTTCGCTCGCTTTCAGAATCTTGTTGCCTTCTATATAATGCCACATTGCTCTCTGTATAGTCCATTACGCGCCGCTGGCATTGCCTCTTGTATTGTTGCTGTTTGTGATATATCTTGAAAGCACCCTTTATTGTTATAAAAGCAGCACCACCCTGTACGTATAAGAAATAGAAAAATGAGTATAATATATGTGATACTAAATTTAAATCCATTTTAGTACAATAATTTGAAGAATTAATATGTACCAATAATGTTCTCTGGAAATTGGAGCTTATACTTTCGAAGAATAATCTTCCGCATACGCTGGCAATGGTTGGCAATAGAAGTGCACCGCAAAGAACACGGGTTGCAGATACTGGATCATTCATTGGTGGTATATCCTCAGATTGTACACTTGTGTCCTCATCAGAATAACTGTAACGATATATTATTACTGAAATTGCAGGCTGAGTAATCTGATTGATATATCGTGCGTCATCTAATTGTATGATCTAGGATTTGTTCCATAATTTTGATTTTATAATCCTATTATTAATTCCTACACACAAAACTAATTATTGATTCTTATAAAATTTGATTTCTGTTTATTCTCGCAAATGAAAATTACTTGCTGTTGTCATTATGTTTTTATGATGTGTACTATTTAAAGAAATTCGATAAATATGTTTTGATTTATAGTAAAAAATATAAAAAATTCTACATCATAAATTAAAGTGATTTCTCTTGCATTTAGGAGTACGATAAATACGAACCTAGTTGGTAGAAAATGCCTCAAAATAGGAACTTTAGATGCGTGCCGTCTTAAAAAACTAAGAGCTTGATCTTCCCACCGAAGCATTTTTCCCAAAACTAACATAATTGGAATAGTTGGCAAACCAACTAGTAAGACTAAAGGATCTGCTTGTTCCATCATGGTAAGGCCATCTTTATGGCCCACTACTTGCATAACAGTAACAGCACCATAAGTTACAGCCGTCCAATATATAGACCCAACTACTATTCCAGCAGCAATGAAAGGGCATACTCGAAAGATAACTGCATCAATAGTATCAAGTATTATGACTAATGGACCTGAAATTGATTCATATGTATGATCATTACAGGCAGTACAATTGAAAGAGAGAGATGATCGAGATATTACCGCAAAAAAAAAAAAAAAACGTAACATTTGCAATATTAATTAACGTACTCACCCATATTTGGATAAACTATAATATATTCCGTGTTACACTGCGGACAGGCCACAGAGTGGTTAGCATGACCTTTCTGTTTCTCATCGACCCATCTCTGTATACAACCCTGATGAACCCACTTTGTAGTGCCTCGACAGTGACATGGTTTGACCCAGGCTGCTGTAGCATCATCTTCATCTGTTGCAAAGCATACCCAACAGTATCGCCTGCTGAATGAAAAGGTAAATGTTATAATTAAATGATATAAATAAAATATAAAATAATTGCCATTATTCACCTTAATTTTCAGAGAATAATTAAAAAAATACATATTATTTTGAAACTATTCCTTAGAGTTTTAATATAAGTAAATTTAAAAAATTGGAATTCCTAAACTTATGTTCTATATTTTTTTCTTTTTTCTAATGCACATAATATATGATTGTTTCAGGTGACAAGTATAAACTTACTCTTCTTCAGAAGTTAATGATGGTACACTAGAGGTACGCTGATTCGGTGAAGATGCGCCATCAGTAATATCAACTGACAGCTCCTGATCTGTCACATCATCCCATGCATTCTGAGAACTTTCCTCTTCGGATGGTGCCATTCTTACCACTAAATCAGATATTTCTGCTATAAAAGAAGAATAGAAAACATAATTTATAAATATTGTTGGGCAAAAAATCTTGTTTCAAACATCATTACCATTACTAGATTCACTGGCAAGTCTTTCAGCTCTGAGGTTTGTACTGAGTCTCCTTAACGCTTCTTCTATGCTTGGAAGACGCCTAATGTTTGCTCTGGTTATCCCTGATTCAATACGCACTATTCTTCCACGACTGTCAACCCCATATGAAATATGTGGCATATTATCGTCCGACATTGTGTTTCAGCGAACCAAAGCACTTACAAGTTCATCACCATCTTAAATAAACATCATTAAAATAATATTGTTATATATGTTGCACTCTTATATAAAATGTGATTTACGGGCACTAAATTATATTAAAAACTCGTATAAGCTCTCTTATTAGTTTTGATTGACGTTTCAATATAGAAAGGTTATAATAACAAAGACTATGTAGATTATGTATATACAATTAAAATTTTTGCTGTGCACAAGTAAAAATGTATTATGCCGCATAATTTTATGTATTACATCATAATACAGATTGCTTCATCGAAATGTTTTTTATCGCGCTATATTTATCTTAATATTTTGCATAATGATGACATGCATTCATATCGAATAATTTAGAAAGTAACGGCAGACGCCAGACTTTTTGTATCTTATGTCGATGTGATTTACTGAACGATGTAACATACGTAAATCGAGCTGAGTGCGAGCGATTGTTTCTCCTTTCGCGGAATAATGAAAAAAGAATGCACAAATAACAAAAAACTATCCGAACGCGTGAGAGCGACAGAAATTGCGTAAAGTTGCAAATTGCGAAACTGCGAAGTTTTTCAACGTTTTCACGGATCTGTAATGTTTTCCGATTTGACCGCACAACGATTAGTGCTATGTTAAGATATAATGACCGTGGTTTTAAAAGCAAAAAAAGAAAAACCGACAGTTCTCGGCTTGTACTTGTGATTTGTATACATTTCACGGAGTAGTGGCGCGATAGGCATGTTCCTGACGAGCTCTATATGTAGCACGTTTCACGTTAATATTTACTCGATATTTATAAGATCAATTATTTTACCCGTTTTATCTCGTCTGTTCGCTCTATCTTTTTGTTAAATATAAACTTCGGTTGGCAAATCAAATTGACTTTTTCAGAACCGAATCTAATAAGTCCAATGTCATCGTTCAGTCACGTCTGTTCTCGACGCACCACTGACGCATCGTGCACTCGATGCGATACACAATTCATGATATAATTGTGACGAGTGAATTATTATTATACATATATACCTAAACAGAGTATTCCATATGGTTTCTTGTAGCACATGTTAGATTTGGCACAACGGGGGTAAAGACAAAATCGGAAGATACTTTCTTATAACAGAGTTCAATCAGATTAAATGACTTCTGATACTCATAAGAACAGAGTGAAATCCAGTCAATGAGAAAGAATGTAGTTAGTGGAGATTCGAACTCACTTAGCAGAGACATAAACCGTACTTAGTAAAGATTCAAACCTCTATTTAACCTGATTTATCCGCAATGCTAACTTCTTGTTTCAATAATTTTCCGCTAGAATTTTTGCCAACCAGTGTGGCCAGATTTCAAAAGCAAGAAGTAGCATGATGGAGGCATCGGAGGGGATATCGCACACATGCACAAGCCATTTAAGCAGCACTTGCGAGACAGAATAAGCATCACTCCTTAAATTCTTTCTCTCTCGGCTCGAAGCCATTTTTAGCCAAGACTCAAACCAAATGGTTTAATTATTGGTTAAAAATAGTTTGAGTCTTGGCTAAAATGATTCTGTACCGAGAGAGAAAGAATCTCAGGGATGATGCTTGTCTCTGTTTATCTTGGCGCGTTGCGGTACTCTCTCCGTTCTGCTGCTTGCTTCATGCGTCTCAAATGTGGCCAGCCCGGTCAGTCTGTCTGTCTGTCTGTCTTTGTTGAACACGCTAACACGTGATATGCACGTGTGACTTATTACGGATTAATTTTATTGACAAAAGACTTTGTCATATATGTATGTATATGTGTTGTAAGTAAGAAAAGCGTTGATGAACGTTGCTTATAAATATTTTGCAACATTCAAGCAATATTAACATTTATCTTATATTTACAGTTGTAATTGGAGGTTATGTTGCTAAACCTTGAACGTGAGAGAAATGTGTTAAAATATGATTAGTATGAGATTAAACTAGCTTGTTTCTATCTTCGTACAGTAAAGTTAATATTCTTTTACATTGTTTAAGTTGTGGTAAAGCTATTCAAAATGGTTAAAGCCACGAAAAAGAATTTGTCCGAGTTTGCACAACAGAAGCACAATCAGAAGAACAAAAAACTATTAAATCCCTTTGAAGTACACATTAATAGAGACAAACAGAAAGTATTGGGTCGAAAAAGTAAAAATGATCGAGGACTTCCAGGCATATCGAGGGCAAAAGCTATTAACAGGCGAAAGCAGAGCCTTCTTCAAGAATATAAATTGAAAAATAAAGACAATGTATTCCTAGACAAACGTATAGGCGAAAAGAATTCTGCTATGAGTGCAGAAGATAAAGCGATGGCAAGATTTACTAAGGAACGTATAAAGGCGCATAAAAAGAAAAATATATTTAATTTGAACGATGATGAAGTATTGACTCATAGAGGTCAAACTCTTGAAGAAATTGAGAAATTTGATGATCCTAAGAGTGATGAAGAGTTTAGTGATAATGACAGTGTCAGTGGTAGACTGGATAAAAATTTTGTAGAGGAGGCTCATTTTGGTGGAGGAGTTCTATCAAGATCAGAAGGCACATTATCCAGGAAAGATCTTATTGATCAACTCATTGCAGAATCGAAGAAACGGAAAGCAGAAAAGCAAAAGATACGTGAGCAAACCTTAGATCTGACAGAGAAACTTGACTCAGAGTGGAAAGATCTTCTACCTGTTATGTCTGCTTCTAAAAAGTCAAATGAAGATACTGAGGAGACAGCCAAAGTTGATGCTTATGATATTGCTGTACGGCAACTGAAATTTGAAGCTAGAGGTAATCCATGTGACAAATTGAAGTCGGAAGAAGATATTATTCAAGAAGAGAAAGAAAAATTAGAGGCACTTGAAGCTGACAGATTGGCAAGAATGAAAGGATTTGTATCTGATGTTAATAATCGATATAAACATAAATCTGCTGATGATCTTGATGATGGTTTCATGATGGAAGCAATTACAGCAGACACTGATGACAATAATTCAATAACCAATGATATCAATAATGAGCATGATAGTAATATTGATAATGAGACTGATAATGATGAAGTGAATGATGATGATGTCAACAATGATGATGGTAATGATAATGATATTAATGACATTAATGATGTTAATGACATTAATGATGTTAATGACATTAATGATGTTGAGGAGAAAGAAATTAAATCAAAAAGCAGTAAACAGGAAGGAAAACAAGCAGTGGAAGCCATAAAAATAAGCCAGGATGATTCAGAGGTTGAAGGCTCAGATGATGGAGAATCTGAAGATAATTTTTCAGATTTAAAAGAATCAGAATTATCTAGTGATGAAGATAGAACTGTTGAAAAACATGTTACATTTGTTAGTAATCTGATAACAGATACTAAAAAACTAAATCAATCGGATCAAATTTGTTCCAAATCAATACTGAAGAAAAATGATAACACTATACATGAGCAGAATGTGTCTGACAAAATTAATAAGCAAGATATCAGGAAGGATCTCTTAAAGCGAAAAAAAATTATGGAGAAAGCACGAAAAGAACTACCTTACACATATAGTGCTCCGAACAGCTTTAAAGAATTAGAACAATTGTTGGAAAATTATAATGCAGACTATCAATCGGTTATTGTAGATCGTATTATAAAATGTAATCATTGGACAATAGATGCCAAAAACAAAGAAAAAATGTCAAATCTCTTTGTGTATTTAATACAACATATAAATAATTGGGCTTCCAGAAAAAATGCTGATGATTTAGTTAAATGTTTTCAAATCTTTGACAGGTAAAAGTGATTTATAATTCTAGTTTTAAGTATATTTTAAATGTATTACAGTGTGTTATTTATCTAATTTTTATTTCAGATTGTGTCCTCATCTTTATGATTTAGCACAGATGAACCCAGAAAATGCGAAATCTTGTATACAAGAAGTGATTAAGGAGAAGCACGAGATGTTTGAGAAAAATCAAAAAATATATCCTAACATGGATACGGTATGGATATAAGATCAGATACAAGATGTTCTGATTAACTTTGCTTTTACTTACTAATAGATATTACATCAGTATTTAAATTTGAATATATCTGTAAGTTTAAAGAATATGAAAGAATTTTTAAAAAGAGTTGTAATCGATTTGATAATTTCCATATATTACATTTGTAACAAATTTAAAATAAACAATATATGATATGTTATTCTATTTTAATTTATACTTATGTAATATCTAAAATTGAAAAAAGCATATAATAAAATTATGATATTTATTATAAAAAATGTATACTTATGTGTTTTGTACTTATTAATATATGTTTTATTGATTTCAGCTTATATTTTTTAAATTGGTATCCTTGTTATTTCCAACGTCTGACTTCAGGCATCCTGTTGTCAGTCCTTGCTTAATATTTATGTCGCAAATATTGCTGAGAGCTCACATCAAGAAATATCGAAGTGATATCTCAAAAGGTCTTTTATATGTACACTTATTTTAGAGGTAAGTGTAACTGATTTTTTTTACTTAATCAATCAATTATAAAATTATGGAAGTATATGTCATTTGAATTGTTTTTTAAATTTGCAGTATACACTACTCAGCAAACGATTTGCACCATCTGTAATAAATTTTTTACGAGGGATTATTTATACAGCAACACCTGCAGAATTAACACAAAAAATTAGAATTATACCACCATTTAAAGCAACGTGTAAAGCCCTAGTGATTAACGAATCTGAAATTGCGATTGACACAAATGGTGCACATATGTCGACAAATGATTTAATCCTTGAGAATATAGACGACGAATTCAGGATAAGAGCTTTATTGACTGCAGTAAATCTAGTATCAGAATTCAAAGGCCAGCTTCAAGAATTAGAGGCAGTGTACTCGATATTTGAGCCCATTCTTAAATTATTGAAAAAAAATAAATTTAAAAAGCATCCGTCGAACATAAGAAATCACATAAAAGAGTTGCGTAAGTCACTTAAACTTTTACGAAGTAACAAATTGGAATATATTGTGCTTGAAAAGAAGAGGCCAAAACCTTTAAGGACGTATGAGCCGAAAATAATGACGATGTATGTATCTATTTCATGTATTTTTTCTTTTTTATTATCTATATATTTGTAAATTTAGAATTTTTTTGAAAAAATTTATTGTTTATAATTTATATTTTAGAATGTTATACATAAAATAATTTGTTGCTAACATATTATTTTCAAATACTTTTTTGCAGATACGATGGCAAGAGCCATAAACCCATGTCGAAGGAAAAAGCAGAAAGGGAGAAATTGCTACACAAGTATAAGAGAGAATACAAAGGCGCGATTCGTGAAGTAAGAAGAGATCGAGACTTCTTAGCTAAAGTACAAATCGCGCAACAAATTAAGAGCGATGTTGAACGTAAACGTAAAGTAAAGGAAATTTTCGGAGAGGCTGCGATGCAACAAAGCGAATTGAAGAAAATGAAAAGGAAAAAATGAAAGGAGAAAGACGTGAAAATTAAAATATGTAATTTGTACAGAATAGAATCTTTTTTTTTTTATTTTCTGGTTTATATATTTTTATACCCAAGTTTTATCTTTCTATGTTTATTTTTTCGTATTTGAAATTTATATGTATATAATATATGTAATATTTGCAGAATATTGCAATGCAAAATCTACAAAAATAAGAAAATGTACTGTCGATAAGAGCTTATCAAAAGCGTTATCGTAAGAGTTATTTAGTCGACTTGGTAGATGGCGTAATTCACGAAAATTCGTCATCGGTAAGGTGATGTATGAATGTAATTCCGAGTATGGTGAGCGCAACAACCAAGACTGAACCTACGATAGTCCGGAGTGGTCCGGAGTGATTAAAAACAGTGGATGTAGTGGACGGATCGCGTCTGATCACACTCTATCGCTCCTGTTGGGAATGGGTGTTTCCTAATACTGTCCCGAGACATCTTGAGAGATTTATGTATATTTGAGTTTACACTTGAATTGTTTCTTGTGTCGCGCAACTTGGTGTTACGCATAAAGGGCCCTTGTTTCTCACTTTCTTTTCTTCGTTCTTACTGTAATAAAAGGAGCAAGTAAAAATGCCCGTCTTTCATACCAAGACTATTGAAAGTATTCTCGAGCCTGTGGCTCAGCAGGTAATTAAAATGTCAAAATTATTCCCCGTTATCGTTCATCGTTGTATTTAAATATAAGCCGCTTCAACTACGAAATTTGTCTACACATTTTTCGCAACAGATATTTTTCTTTAGAATTTCGGCGAATGTCTTAATTTTTGTCACTTCTCTAACTAAAATTTTATTTTTATAAATATAAAAATATTTCTGAGAAATTATACGTATGTTTTTTTGGGCTTTAACGCTTATTATGTGATCATTGAAGTGTGCTTTTATTTATTTCCTATAAATATTGTATACTTATTTAATGTCACTGTGCACTATAAAAATCGGCTGACGTTTAGTTAAATAAATATGAGCTCGTGTATTTATCGTGTGTCAAATTTACAGTGTAACCTTCTTGTTTCACCAAGAATGCTTTATATAGAACTATGACATCATACTCTGTATATAGAACAGAGCTACTAAATTCATCTTCCAGACTTATTTATCACATAATTTCTGAAATGAAACCCAATCCCTTTGCTTGTTATGAGGATGCTGTTTGTACATTATTAGCCCCACATTTCCAAAAAAGGACATGTTGGTAGCATATAGAGAGAGCATCCTACACATTTGCATACATTAGAATATATTAATAAAGCGGCTCTCATTTCATGTTTAAATACAATTTTAATCCTTAATTTCAATATGCATGTGTTTTTATTATAGAAATACATATTTATATTGAACTAGATATTATCTTTATACAATATATTCTAGCTATTAAATTTAGCAAATTGTGATACAAGATACATTAATGTTTACTAATAAATTTTAAAGATGTTACAAGCTTTGCTGCTTCTGAATAATTATATTATCATTGCAACAATTAAATTAAAATAATCAAAAGAAATTAGACTGTAGAGATTAATAAGCTAATTGAATTGTCAAATTATATTAATAATCTATATATAATTATAAAAACTTTTATTATAAATTTGTATAGATTTTAACATATATTTAAAAAATTAAAAGTTATTTTTGGCTATCTGTGGACTATATCATTTTATCAATTTACACGATTATAATATAAATGATATGCATATAATTATATAGATATAATCTTATAAAATATACATTTATATAAAATACATATGTAACATAGCACACATTATTAAATTTATATAAATTAATAAATTTACATTTTTGCAAGTTTAAATCAACTCTCTCAACCAAAGTTGTTAAGATTATTATCTCTTAAAATTATTGTGTCTTTTATAGGTCTCGAGACTTGTTATTTTACATGAAGAAGCTGAAGATGGAAATGCAATGCCAGATTTGGGGCGGCCTGTACAGGCTGTCAGTATGGCAGTGACTAATCTTGTAAAGGTGAATTTATGCAAAAATTTATGCAAAACAAAAATTTGCGTATCAAAAATATTATACATGTTAGCTTTTATTTAAAAATTATTTTTTCTTTATTTAATTTTTATATTTTACTTTGTATGTATGTTGTACTAAGTATATTATTATTTATTTAAATTAAATTTACAGGTCGGAAAAGAAACGATAAATTCATCTGACGATGCTTTGCTCAAGCAAGACATGCCAGCGGCACTGCAGCGTGTTGAGGGTGCCTCTCGTCTTTTGGAGGAAGCATCAGCTATGTTGAAACAAGATCCATACTCTGGACCTGCCAGGTAATTTATGAAATTTTTGCGTAAAATTCTTTGTGAATTTATTATAACATATGTTATATTTTCCATTTTAGGAAAAAGCTTATTGAAGGTTCACGTGGTATTTTGCAAGGCACTAGTTCTTTGCTTCTCTGTTTCGACGAGAGTGAAGTACGAAAGATCATACGAGAATGCAAACGCGTATTAGACTATCTGGCTGTTACTGAAGTTATTGAAACAATGGAGGACTTGGTACACTTTCTTAAGAATTTAAGCCCATGCCTCAGTAAAGTCTCGAGAGAAGTGAGCGCTCGTGAAAAGGAGTTGACACATCAAGTGCACAGAGAAATATTAGTGCGCTGCCTAGATCAAGTAAATATTAAAAAATCATGCAATTGTGATGTATTTATTATTTAATTCGAGTTTGATTAGATATTGGTTAGATGTTGATCAGATATTGAGTAGATATTGATTAGATATTTATTAAATGTCGATTAGATATTGATAAATGCTATCACATAGTATAAGATACACTCTAAGGAATTTATTTAATAAGATACTATGCTCATATGGAATACACACACTTGTAGGTCAAGACGCTCGCTCCAATTCTGATTTGTTCCATGAAGATTTTTATCCACATTATTTCACAAGGTGGAAAAGGTGCGGATGAGGCAGCGGAAAATCGTAACTACTTGTCTGGAAGAATGTCGGACGAACTGAATGAAATTATTCGAGTGTTACAATTGACAACATATGATGAAGAAGAGTGGGACGCTGATCAATTAACCGTAAGCTATTTTCTGTTGCTTAATATTATTGCAGCTTATGAAATTGTGATATAATTTGGTTGTTCTTAGGTGCTAAAGAAGGCTCAAAGTGCTATAGAATCCAGGATACGAGCTGCTTATGATTGGTTGGATGACGGATTGGCACTAAGAGGTGGCGTAGGAGAAAAGAGCCTTCGTCAAATAATAGAGCAAGCATCGCGTTTGGCAGATCGCTATTTGCCGCCATCGCAAGCAGAGCCCATATCTAAACTGGCCTCTCAAATTGTCACAATGACCGATGCTCTCTGCGAATTGCGCCAGAATGAAAAAGGTTACTTTCTAAAATCTCTGTCGCGTTGACTGTATTGCAAGAGATACACATATTTGGAACATAATTTCATTTAATGAAAATGACATATATTTCTATAAAGGCACGACACCTCAAGCGGAAGCTTTAGCACGCAGTATTAAAGAAAAGTTAAACGAGCTTCGCGGCTCAGTAGCGTCCGCCTTAGTAGCAGCAGATAAGTCGGGAATTGCACAAACAGCACACACAGTAGCGGGCCGATTAGAACAAGCGAACAAGTGGCTTCTGCATCCGGAACTTGATGACAAGGGACTCGGTAAAAGGGCTATAGCTTTAATAATACACGAAGGAAAAAAGGTATGATGTAACCAACTCCTATAATCCGATTGAATTCAACATTCGCCAAATGTGTGATAAATATATAGGACGTTATTATTGATTATTTCTTTTATACGATATTACAAATTAGTCATTTTCACTCTAAAAATGCTTAATATCTTCAATGCTGCGCATAGAAAGAATGAACAACCTATAGCAAATGTGAGTCCGTAAAACCCTTTTTTAGTGTTTTTGTTCTTTTCTTTTGAGCTGCGGAGCGTTCTAAGCATCGCACATTCTGTCCAATAATTTTTATTCTTCATATAAAAGTGCAAAATTTAAATTTGGAATTTAATATAGTAAAATTTTTGGATGTTTTCTGTGCCTTAAATTAGTTAAAATAAATTTTTCTTGTGTGATGCTAATTCAAAACCTTAAAAAAAATTTTTTTTTTTTTTTATCGAGAGAATATTTGCGATGCCTGTGGCGCTCTATGTATTAATTATTTTAAGAACTTTGCGACTTGTTTTGTCATCAGTAAAATTTATGTTTGAACAATAGGTGGCTGAGGGTTTACCAGGCATACATAAGGCTGAAATTCTGCAATTGTGCGATGAGGTGGACAATTTATCGCACCAACTTGCTGATCTATGTGCTCATGGCCAGGGCAACACTCCGCGCGCTCAAGAGATAGCTCGACAGCTATCCCACAAACTCTACGAATTAAAGAATAGGATACAACAGGCCGTCGTATCTCGCGTCGTTGAGGATTTCATTGACATTACTACACCCCTCAAGCAATTTACGGATGCCGTTCTAGCTCCCACAGGCACACCGGGACGCGATCAAAACTTCAATGATAAGACAAGCGCGTTGCAGACGTTTTCGAACAGAGCGGCGAAGACGGCAAGGATGGTTGCAGCTGGCGGTATGTAACAATGATCTCGACATCGACATGTCGATATAATAACCTTATGATTCTTTAGTACATTGATCTTTTAGAAAACAAAAGAAAAGTTGCTTTGAAAGATATACCAATTTTTGTTTCTTTTTTAGAAAAATATGTATTTTTTGAATGGTAAAAATATAGTGTCTACTTAGCTAATATTATCTATACGTCAATTAATACATGTACATATATATATATATTAATATTCTGTTATTACAGGAAGTGGAGGAAACAAGAAACTGGCCGAAGCACTAGCCGCCAGCGCGTCGCAAGTGGAATCTCTTACACCGCAGTTGGTCAACGCAGGACGAATTCGTATGACTTATCCGGATAGTAAAGCCGCGGATGAGCATTTTGAAAATTTGCGACAACAGTATGCGGAGACGATGCAGAGAGCGCGAGCGTTATGCGACGAGGCGACCGACAGCGGTGATTTTATCAAAACTTCCGAAGAACAAATGCAGAAGCATTCGTTTCTTTGCGAGGAAGCTATCGCCAAGGCCCTGCCGCAAAAGATGGTCGATAACACAGCGTCTATCGCGCGTCTCGCAAATCGTGTCATACTCGTAGCGAAACAGGAAAGCGACAATAGCGAAGACCCTGCCTTTATACAAAGAGTGAATCACGCTACCGATGTTCTTCAAAATAGTGTGTATATTCTATACATTAGTTCTTTTTAAATATAAAAAGATAAGAATTCCAACTCTTTATATCGTTGATGAATATTTTTGAAACTCAATACGAATGCATCAATAAAACAATATTAGCTTGTTTAAATTTCTCAAACATAGACTTAAAGAAAGAGTACAATTTACGGATATAAAATTTTAAGAAAGTCATAATTACAATTCTTTTCTGATTAATATTTATATTTTGTTTAACAGGTGTTGCGCCGATGGTTCAAGATGCGAAATTGGTGGCGATGAACATTAATGACAGTGCTGCGATATCGCGCTGGAGAGAAAGTAATCGTGCAGTACGTATTGATAATATATCGTAAATGTTTAGATGCAATTTAATATATATTTTATTATCATTACGTTCGTAGTTGCTAGCCAATGTTGGACAAGTTCGTAAAGCCATTGTAATTCAACCAGATTTGGTGCCGTCTCTGGACATGTCACAGTTACATATTAATGACGGTAAGTATTTAAATTTTACATACATATAAATCTGTAACAGTCTCTAAAAATAGAACGTAGCAGCCGAAAAAGAAATATTTATTGTTGGGTGACGGTTTTTTGATAATTAACCAGTGCAATTAAAACATTGTCTACTGGAAAAAGGTTTATACAAGTAGCAATAATTTTAGGTAGTTTATTCTTTAGCAATTAGTTGCAAACTTCTATAATTTCTAGGCTTGGTTAAAATGGGTTAGAATTCTGTGCTAATAATTTTTTGTCTTTCTTTAAAAATATATAAAGTAATAAATGTAGATATGAATGTATAGACAATATTTGCACGATAGACAGAACTATTTTATAAGTAAGTATGTCTGATGTGTCTTTTGCAGATGAACAAATTCCAATTCGACAATATAATTACTCCAAACCTAAAGGTATCTTTTTCAGCTTGAAATGATTTACGCATGACTGTTTGTCGTATAATTTTACAAACGCATTCGTAAAGCTGCATATATTAATGAAACGAGGATTGAATATTTATAAACATAATTTAATGAAAGACACCAAAACAATTCTATAATATATAAAGAATTATAAATATTTATTATTATTTATATATATATAGTTTTTATATTGTGATATTTTTTTCAAATTAACTGTAGTATTCATTATTCACAAGTAGTAGCTGTGTATTTTGTTGCACATCATCATTGATAAAATTCATTATCCATTACATTAATACTCTCTCGCATTCATCTTTATAATATGTAAAATGCAGATCAAAATAGCAGTAATCAAAAATAGATTTATTGATGCTAGGCTGTAATATTAATCATATGCTTCAATTAGTAGAGAATCCCGATCTTTTGTATCAAGAATTGACTTCTGACAACGATTTAGACAAATCGATTCATGATGGAGGTAATTCGTAGCATCTTTTCAGAGATGACTATTATATTTTTGATGTTCTAACGTTTATATATCCTTGACACGAAGCATGCAGTGACTAAAAATAAAGCTCGTATTGTATTAAGCGAAATGTTATGAGTATGATTAAAATATTATGAATAATAGCCAGAAGCGAAAAAAAAATGATTTTCGAAGTAAATGCATAATTATGTGTAATACAAAATTTGTTGTATATTTGCATAAGTCGGAGATATATTTAACAAATTTATATTTTACAAATCCAACTGCATTTTGCCTCATCATGCACATACGTTCACATCTCATGATTCATAAATAGTATCATTTTGCAAGTAGTGTTAATAATCTCAAGTATTTCAATTTTTAATTTATTATGCTTTCATGCCATTTACATTTATTATAATCCAATAGAAAGAATAATATAGTAATTATTTATTGACATAAAGCATTGTGTCGATTGCGTGATATCTTTATTTTTACGTGCAAGCAGTAGGAAGCTAACAATACTTAATTATATGCATGCAGGAGCATTTTTGATGACATGTTTAATTTGTCTCATATATTAACACGCACTGGGGGTTTTTTTTTAATGCTACGTGGATTGCCAGCTTGCTACGATTATAATATGGATGATGGTAATTACCTGAACATATTCATATTTTTAAAATATGATTTATCTTGAAGCAAATTTTTACATCTATGATTTATCAAGAAGCAATCTTTAACAGCATCTTCAATTATGTGTAACAGAATGTTATAGGTTGTTATCGTGGAACTTTTACGTGTACGACACGGGGAAGAGATTGCGTTATAAAATTTTATTGACACCAATTGTTTGTTATGCGTAGAAGTGGCACCTCCTCGCCCACCTTTGCCAGGAGGCGATATCCCACCACCAAGGCCACCTCCCCCAGAGACTGACGATGAGGAAGAAATGTTTATGCATGCTCCTCAACCCAATCAACCAATAATGGTAAAAGAGATGATACTTCACGTCCCCTTATTATAATAGAACAGGAATTACATTATGAAATTTTTTGCGCAGATGGCTGCCCATGGTTTGCACCAAGAGGTACGACAATGGTCGAGCAAGGACAACGACATTATTGCCGCGGCGAAGAAAATGGCCATATTAATGGGCAGGCTGTCAGGGCTGGTTAGAGGCGAGGGTGGCAACAAACGAGATCTTATCGCGTGCGCCAAAGCCATCGCAGAAGCTTCCCAGGAAGTGACCCGTCTCGCAAAGGAACTCGCTAGAGAGTGCACCGATAAACGTATTCGAACGGTGCGTGTGCATTGCTATCGCTGATTGTCTATAAGCATTTAAATCGAATTTATTAGAATTTTTTACACATGATCTGATTTTGCTTCTTCAGAATCTTCTCCAAGTTTGCGAGCGTATACCCACTATTGGAACACAACTGAAGATACTCTCGACAGTAAAAGCCACTATGCTTGGAGCACAAGGTACTGTTTGTCATGTTTCTTTTATGTATTTTATATATATTTATACATACGTCGACTATATTCGGCAATAGATCGTGTCGAACTAATTAGCTATAACAAAATAATTATTAATGACTATCTAATGACGTAATGTTTCTACGAAACATTGTTTAAGAGAAACGAAAACCATTGTAATTAATGAAAAAATCAAATTCTTTGCATATAGAGACACTCCCGACCTGGGAAGAGCTGATGCTTTATGGTAAAGAAGTTGTAAACTTGCTTGATGTTATTGTCTCTCTTTCTCTCTCTTTCTCTTTCGATGGTGTTTATTTCGTTCTTTTAAAGATTTCACCTCAATTGATTTTGACGACGCGATACACACCGCATTCCATCATGTGCATGCGATCTCTACTTTTTCCTCAGAAAGGAATATGCGAAGGTGAAATATTGTTATTCAATATTGATTTTATATACAAGTTTTTACAAAAATTTTACATGATAATAAGTGGGAAACAAATTATATTCCAATTCATTAATCTAGTAATTTTTATGGGAAATATAAGGTCTGCTCATCGTGGCGTAGATGAATTGATTGGCTGCAGTAAGTGAATTATAAAACTTGTAACAGATATTTAGATAGCAAATTTATTCAATGTGCAATAATATTTGTTATATATATGTTAAATATCAGTACATCATCTTTCACTCGTAACATTTCATCATTATATTGATTGTCACAATGCAATTTATGATTTATGAATTACAGTCTGTACATATAAGCAGACGTCCGAAAGATTCGTGTTGCCTTCAGGAAAATTTCTCTCATAGCAAACATCAATTTTATCCCTCGCACTGAAATATACTTTCATTTTTATTCATGCATGCATTTTTATGTACATAAATACTAGGACTCGCATGTTCGATCGCTAGATTTATACACTCCGTTCACAGAATTCGAATTTTCAGACTACAGTATTAATAGTAATTACTGAATCGCTTTCCATCTAGTGTATCTAATATTATGTGTACATTAAGACATTTATATGCACCTAGTTTCGTATTTTGTACATTTATGGGTAGTCGTATACTGCATGTAAATTATATTCGTATATAAGATTTTTAGGTTCCACTGTAAATTTCCACTGTAAATAGAACTTCTTCTTCATCTTGGCACTTACATAAAAATGTTCCACATAGGAATTACAATGCAAAAAGCTCTTGCATTATGGAATATGAAGTGGTTTAGGATGGAAAGTTATATTCATATGTAACATATGGAAATTTGTGTATATATTTATATATTATTTGCCGATTCCATTTGATTCATTTGATAATTAATAACATGACACATTTTTTTTCTTACGAGATATTGCAAATACAAATTTGATAATTAGTGACGGCAATGAGTTTTGGAAATATACTTGAATATTGATGTAGAGACTTATTTTTCTAACATAATCTGACGGATGTTTTTGTAATGTGTACACGTAGGTACGGAAGAGGATCAGGAGGCAACGGATATGCTTGTCGGAAATGCTCAGAATCTTATGCAAAGCGTGAAAGAAACGGTGCGAGCCGCAGAATGTGCCAGCATAAAGATTCGTACCGCTTCCGGTATGAAATTGCGCTGGGTGCGTCGTCAGCCTTGGTATCAATATTAAATGATAAGAAAACTACACAATTTCAAGGAAAATCCGCAAGATTTTGCTTGGTGTTCAATATACACATAGAAATATTGGTAGAAATATTTTTCCATAATTCTAATATATATTAAAAATATAACAGTATATATTTCTACGTAAACTACAAGTACTAATTACATTGTAATGTGCTTTATATATTCTTAAATTGACTGACATTTTGTTTTGTTGATTTATTTTTTTACTTGTTTACTTGCTTGGTAACACAGACTTTTTAGGAGGAAAGATTCTATACTCTGATTTTTAACGAAATAATCCAATAATCAAGTTTTTCACTTTACAATCATGAATGTAGTATAGATTGAAAATTAATCTTTGATCTCTTAGTTTGTTATTTTAAATAAAAAATTTTATTAATGTTTGGTATGCCATATACATATTAAAAATAGTAGTACCTTATTAGTAGTAATAATAAGCAAATGTTTTGTTTATAGAAAGATGTAAAGCTAAAAAAAAACAAGCAATGACAGTCTTAATAAATTTTTGTGCAATGATACAGTGCTAACAATATTGTAAATAGCAAAATATTTCACTCCTTATTCAGATTTTTTCCAAACAAAGTACAAATGCTGATTATAAAAATTTATACTTTGATTGAAGAGAACCTGCATGAATTAAAATGTTCTGCTATTTATAACACTATAATAGTAATACCAATATATAATAAATATAGGGCAATAATACATATTTTCATTAATCTCTTTCTACGCTCGAATTAAAATATGAATAAACAAGTCTTTATAAATCTTTTAATATTCTTTCTAATTAAACTAAACACAATAAGATTTGTGAAAACTACTTATATTTATAAGTAAAACCTTTGTCATACGGAATATTGCCACATAGAACTAAAATGTTATATTTTTACAAAAATAAGAGCGAATATAATCACACACATGAAATTGTTATATAAATATATTAAACAACTATGTATATAGAGTGAAATCACACAAGTCTGTAATTTTTGAGTCAATTTTTTTGACATTGTTAGAATATGAAAATTATATTTAAAAGATATAATTTTACTTTATAAAGTTTAACTTTTCTAAATTAGAAAAATATAAAGTAATAGTATTAATTTAAAAGATATATCGTAAATATATCACCATTTATTGTACTATTATATAGTATAGTATACGAGTATATGAGCTTTTATAGAAAAAAACAATTTTGGCAATCAAATATTTCTATTTTCTATTTAAATTACGATATTTCCCGATATTTCACATGAAACTTTATAGGCACCTGCCACTGTACATTATATTAATATAATATATACAAAACTATTTTCATAAGTTTTATGTGGCAATCATAATGATATCAATATCAGAATTTTTCGCTTTGTATTCTCATATTTTTTTAAGCGGTGCTAATATGTGCAATATTGTCCCAAACCATGTTGCTGTGTAACGGAAAGTTCTAACCATATGGCGATAGTAATTTTCTAATGGATAACATAGTATAAATCAATTCTAAAAATCTTCTAAAGTAATAAAATATGGAATGTTACGATGCGTACGTATTAATTTTCAGCGACAGATATGATGTATTTCGAAATACTTTTATGTAACCACATTTATAATAAAAATAACATGTTTTGACTTTTACTCTTAATTTTATTCCATGATTATCATAATTTATACAAGATACAGATGCAGATGAAGTATAAAATATGAATTTATATATACATTATATATAATATTTTATGTCGCATTTTTCAAGATTCAAGTGATTCTCGTTTTACTGATTGCTGTCCAAGTATCGTCGTACCTGGCATTTTATTTTTAGGGATTTTTCCGGGCCTTAAATATGGATTATCTATAACATCTTGTTGAGTAGTAGTTTCGCCATTTTGTTCTATACCTTCGTTTTGTGTTTGATTGCCTGTAAATAAGAGTTTATGTTTTTGTTAATTGAACTATATGTTAAAAAATCTTTGTATTATATATACATTCTTCGCAAGAGGCTTACTTTCCTCTGTCTCTTCGGTTTGTTGTTCTTTTTTCTTTTTCACAGGAGTGGATTCAAACTGAAAATCTGTCTCTGGCTCAAATATTTGATCTTGAGGTAAAAGAGCAGAGATATAACTCGGAAACTGTGGTTTACAAGATATTACTAAAAGCAAAGAAGACATATATAAAATTGTGTTGCATTGATTTATTAGAGTGATCAGTCGATTAATAAAATTGACAATTTGCTTACGGGGAAACATGCTGTTATCTTCTGTGAGAAATAAACTATGTGTTTCTCCTGTTTTAGCAATAAACCTTGTTAGAGCTCTTTCAATATCTCGTTTTTGTGTTGCTGCTTTTTCTCTTATTGCTTCATACTCTGTCACTGGTTGCTTATGTGTCTGAAATGTATTCATTACGGAATTAGATTTATATATACATTATATATAATTAATATAGTCATAAATATTATTCATAAATAATCTATCAATACTTACTGGAGTTCTAATATATGCATGTGGATCAGGAAAAGGTGGTAAATAATTTGGTATATGTGATGGATGGCCTTGTTTAATACCAGCTTGTAAAATATTTAATTGCTTTGATTGTGTCTGTTGTTGTAATGCTGGTAAAACCGTTCTATTTTGTCTCTTGGCATAAATCTCTATATTCTCTAATTTGAAGCCCATATTGATTAATGCCAGTATCACGTCTGCTATGAGAGGTTCTGTTCTTCCAGAAAGTTCGCAATAATTTTTTGCTGAAGCCCCACCTTCTACAATAACTGTAATCCATGAATGAGAATACAGTGAACAATTTACATTTAGATGAAAAAATCTTTAATGGATTAAATTAATAAAGAAACTTTAAAAATAAATCCTGTTTCTTTCATTATTCTATTTTATAGATCATGTGTCTTCAATATATTAATCACAATTTTGTATACATTTTATCTGATTTTAATTTACTTGTCCTTGTAATTATTAAAAAATTAAAATTATATAGTCTTACATGACTGTAACATTTCGGTAAGAGTCTCCAATGCTTGTTTCTCACAAGTATCATAACCACATTCCACTAAAATACTACAAACTACTTGATTCAATATTTTTCTTCGAGTATTAACTGTTTGTACATCCATATTGATGTTGATAAATTTATATGTCACTTCAAAGCAACTTCGAAGATTTGGAGGTTAGTTTGTTGCAACTTAGTCAAGACTCAAACCATTTTTTATCAAGACTTAAACCATTTGGTTGATAGTAAACTTCAATGGGTAAAATAGGTTTTACGTTGGGATCGAATCTTCACTAGGTAAGAATTAAGGGTTTGAATCTCTCCTAAATAAAGTTCAATCTGTTCCAATAGAATTTTAATTTCGCGATTTTCAATTTTAGTGTGAACTATAAAATAATGTATAAGGTAACTGGGTTTTTTTATTTATGTTCTTTCTTTCTTTATATTGCAACGTTCCGTTTATTATTTGCATTTAAATTAGTTTTACTAGTAATATTATATTCTTATAGGTTATGTTTAGGTGATAAATAGCAAATAACAGTTCTCAATATAAGCAAATGCTTATATATACTTTATGAGATATAATATGGATGCGGATATAATAACAGCAATATTAAACAGCGATACAGAAAATGCTGCTCAGTCTGAGAATTGTAAAGATATGTCAAGGGAAACTTTGCTTTGTTCACAATCTGATGTGATATTGAACACTCTATGTACATCACTGAGTAACCTTTTATGTTACAAAGTATCCAAGGAAGCTTATCAACGCTATTCGGTTCGATTTTTGATAATAGTATGTTGAATTCTTGCACTAAAATATGGATTCATATTTTCTTTAATTTCTCTTTTTTGAATAATGAATATATCAATATAATTATTAATTGCAGGACATCTTGCGAAAATGGTGCAGAACAACAAACAATTTTGATCATTTACAAATATTTACTTCTAAGGAAAATAGCTTAAAGTTTGTAAGTATTCTTTTAGACAAACATCTCAATGATGATGTTTTGAATGAATGCTATTCTCAAGATGCCTTAATATCCTTAACTATTGCTATAATGCACTTGTCAGTTGAAAATCTGCTCTTGATGCCTTATGTGGATAGATTACTTTTAAAAATTTTACAACTAGAAGTAAATGATAAAATTGAAAAATTATTACATAATGCTTTACATTCAAATTTTCACCTTCAATTATCCACAAAGGAAAAGATATATGTTTCACAAAAATTTAAATTAATAGAGGAACCCTTGCTCAACAGTTTAATGTGCACGCTTCCAGATTTGACAAAAGAGAATTGTGTAGATAGTCAAAAAAGTGAGGAAGAGAGACTGAATCAACTATTAGAATTTAGCACTGAGTCTGCATGTGTTTTTCAATTAATATTCAATTTTTTGAAAGAATTATTAGTTCAGCTGCAGTATGCTCCTGCAGTTCTGCATTTCATAGATGTGATATTAAAGCGAGTATCTCTCTTTTGTGAAAATCGGAATAGAGACGTATTAGATCTTTATCCCAAAAAATTGCATTCTTCTATAATCTTATTACGGATAAAACCAGAATATCATACAGTTCAGACACGAGATTATACATTGAACATTTTAAATCAAATCTTTAGTGAGAATAAAGATACTTTATTAATTTTAATATCTCACTTTTCCGAGTGGCTAGAAGATTTTGCAAATTATGTCGCTAATAATGCACAAAGTTGACTGTAAAGATACAGAAAGATAATGCGAATTGTACATTCATGTACAAGTGTGTTTATAAATAGCTTAAAACAATGAGTCTTATTCTTCAAATAATATGAAGACAAGTGTATATCAAAAAGACAGATTTTTATTTATTCATCATCCAGAACATGTATGCTGGAATGCATTTGAAGATAATGAAAGTCGGTATTCCGAGTCCTTAAAGCCGTAAATTATTTTAAATCCTCATTTACATTTCTAAAATGTGTCTTATATTTACTTTATGTGGAACGTGTTAAATTGAACAACTGATGTATTGTAAGTAATATCTCGAAATAAATATTTTGAAAAGAAAGAAAGTTAATGTCTTTTGATGGGCAACTATAAATCGCCCTTATATTTCAAATGAATTAAATGATAACAGATCATAACGCATAAATCGTAAATGCAAACTTGTTGAACTATGAGCATCACTTTACAAATCAAAGAAAATCATATCCGTCATATGAACTAATGTAATTAACAATTTCAAAATATCTATAGAAATAAAGCAATTTTTTCATCAACTAGTACTGGTAAATTGATGAACCTAATTATAGGGATTCATACTCGCGCGCATACATACACACACATACACGCAAAATCTTATTTTTTTTTTTTTAATGGAAGAGTTTTCTGAGAAATTATTTGAACTCTAAACTCATAAAATAAAAATGTAGTGACGTACTAATATACTAGACAATACTTTTGCGTTAGGCAATATTTAAATATAGATAAATTATTACTCTTATCATAAAAATCTTTTTAAATGTCCTTTTATATATCAAACAATGCTTTTATGTTAAGATATTATATCTAAAATTTAGCGCTTACAATATTTTTCAAAGATTCTCACGAGAATTTATTATCAATTTTGCTATTATAGTCCTCAATTGTTGTAAGCGCGATTTTTTCAATTAGTTGTCTCTCATATTCGAAAATTGCGCACATTTCATGAATAAAAAATGTCCATTATAGGTGGCATTTCAAAATTACACGTGTTTCCGGTGCAATTTATGCAAATTCCTGCGCATGCATGTGCATCTTATTTAAATGAATTGTAGGACGATTACTCTTTAATTGATTAATAAAGCAATGATTTACATTTCCCGAAACTTCACGTAATTATTAAAATAATTCTTACAAACGGCATGTTTTTCTATAAGGACGAGGATGATTGTAATCGAACAGAATCTAAAGTAGGTTAAAATTATCGATATATAATTACGGTGGTGCATGCAAAAGAACTTTGTGAGATTGACAGATCGATATATAATCCACCGCTGTTTTTTGCGTTAGAAATAATTCGAATTTTGCACATTGTTACATAAGTAGAAGATCCATAGGTGAAAATGGTTCTACTCGAATGATTTCCGGACAGAAACCGATATAATTTTGAGGAGTTAAATTACGCGGATCACTTCTAATTACGCGAAATCGTTTGGTTCTCCCGAGACGATGTTCTGGAGGCCGTTTTCTCGGACATTATGGAGCAGGACAGGGATGCTGGTATAGCAGTGGTGGTGACAGCAGCGGTGGTGGGAGCAGAAATGGAGCTGGCAGGATCGATAGGGGATGATTTCGCCTCGCGCGGTAAGGACCTTCGTCTTTTCAGGGATTCACGTCGATCGTTCTGTCGGCCCTTGTCCATTTTGCCAATCGACCATGGAACCTGCCGATCAATACGCGATTATAACAGGAATTTTATATGACTTATGATTTAACAGAAAACTTAACGAGTTGAAAATCCGCGAATTGCGACGCCAAGGAACCGAAGATCCCAAAAGAATCTCGTATTAAAAGATTCACGATCAAAATGTGATGCAACCTTTTTTTTTTTACATATAATTGTTCAATTGTTCACAACGTTATTTAACTAATTGTTCACAACGTTATTTAACTAAGTAATCTTGAGTGAGTGAGAATGTCTTCCTTTCGATGATTTTGTACGTTCTATTCGATCGTTTCTTATCGTTTGTCAGATGCACATTAATTAACTATTATAGATTCTTTCACACACACGCACACACGCGCGCGCGCGCACACATGCAGAACACATATACTCACGCTCATATGTATGCATTTATATATAACAGAGGATAGTAAAAAGAGAATTCACGTGATGTCAGAAAAAAAAAGTCCGACACAGGATTGTAAAACGCAATGAAAGCAGGTACTCATCATGAACACGCAATTGAGATGTAACTCTTTTGATTTAATTATTCCGTCAAAGATTTAGTTCGTCGTAACAAAAGTAGATGAAGTTCTCACGCAATTCAATTTGTTGTTTACACACGCGTGCTACCAATGTTCTTACGGCAAAAGGACATTTCGCTTTTTTTTTTTTGTGATGTGGTTGTAACGTAGAATCGTGATTCGAAATAACTTATGCGTTGTAATTGTATTTTAGAAAGGAGCGAGAATGTATGAGCCGAGAAGCGTGAATTCATCGATTTAGAATCCGTTTCGCACAATTCATATATTTACACTTTCTCGTTGCTTTAATGCGCGTTTCACGAAAACGTTTTATTCAATTTATTACAAAATATTCTGATTTACGGCAATAACTGGAAATTTTCATTGGAAACTATGTTCTTTTTTTCTGGTGGATTAGAATATTAATTTCTATATAACTGGAGTTCTCTATATAATTTTGATACAGATTTTGTAATTTACATGTAACTTTCAGAAATATGAATTTTTCATTCTGAAATTTTTTCTGCACACACGGCGCGTATTATGTTACAAATAGAATTGTGTCACGGACTGCAGATGTAAAATTGTGCTTGATGCGTCTTGGAGTATGATTGTGTTATTTCAATGGACGATGATGAAGGATATCGGAAAAGGTCGCTTTCTTCGTCTCCTCTCTCTCCCTCTCTTCTCGCTTTTTCATTCAATGAGAATATCGGGTGAAAGTACAGACAATAGAAATGTTATAAAATGAAATGCTCTGTTACCTTGTAAAACGTGTTACATTTAACATCGATGCGATGAATCTTTTTTTTTTCTGTTTGTTCGAACGTGTGTGAATCGTAGTACTATGTTTCTACGTTTTGGTTTTTCATCGTACTTTTTTTTTCACATTATTATCTCAAACACACAATGTCAAATAGATGAACAGTAATTCTCCTGCGCAATTATCAATGATTTTTCTTTTTTTTTTCCTCATTCGGTTACCTTTTGCTATTTATCTGTTTAAGCGCCTTTTTTTTTTATATTAACCATTACAATATATTTTATTTATATTATATATATACACGATTATACGCGTTATACGCGTGTACGTGCGTAAAAGTGGTTTTGCCTTTAGTAACTACATTATCTTGTAGTATGGGCGAAAGGTCGCGACTGATCCCAAAGGCGTGCACGCGTTCTGCATACGCGAATCTCCGCCGCGAGATACTCTCGTATTCGCGAGAGACCGGAATCCTTTGGATCTCCGGCACGCTGGAGCACGTCGCACTCGAGGTGTTTGAATCTTTAACGGATCTTCGAGTCCGCGAATTCTCGGATCGTGAAACGCTTAAAATCTTGGAATTCTAAGGAATCCTCGAATCTCTTCTTGAATCCAATGTATTTTGCGATCTAGGAAGTCTGACGTTGCAGAATCTCTCGAGATCTGCGGATTCCGGGATCCTTCGATGCGCGAAACCTTGGGATCTATGAAAATCTTGTGACTCTTGAATCAAAGCGATTTTACGGATGCTAGGGTCTCTTGTATTTTCAAGTCCTCGGGTGTTTTTTTTTTCAGGATACGCAAAATTAACACATCGCTCGCGCCTATCGATTGATCTTTCGCCCCGACTCCGGCGTTGTTCTCACTATTCTTTAATAGTTAATATTGAAGTATTACAAACCATGTGGTGGGAAAACGTTCATTCAAAGAAACAATCATAAATTTGCGTCCGACAAATCATCTTCGCGAGCTTGTAACATTTCGAAAACTCGACGTGATAAGTATTTATATAACAATTAATATTATGTTGATATATTGATTCTCGAGAGATGAGTAACGCATTATTAAACGTTCTTCAACGTCACAACATCTATCTGCGTGACGTGTATCCGTATCGAGGACGATGCACCACGAATTTATATCGCGTCTCGTGTCAAAAAGTATCTGCATAACAGCGGAAAGGCGGCTGCATCGAGTGTGAAAATCGTGATTTTTGGTGCAGTTGCATTCGCGATAGAAAATACGAAAATATCTCGCAATGCTACAAATACGACGAAGCTATGGCAACTTTGAGTTATCATTAGGTGCTGTGCGAGGAAAGGATACTTGCGCTGTGGGAAGATTAAAAAAAAAAAAACGTTCAGAGTTGCAACAGACCGTTAACTTTAATAAATCAAATGACGTACAAAGGCCAATCGCAGTAATTCTTGCTGTTTTCTGCAACAACGGACTTTGATTTTCGTACACTATTGATATAATGTAATTCAAGGACACGTATAATTCTTGCGATGTAACTTGCTCCGAGAATCGCGGTGTTGACGTGTGTTCGACGGCGCATCGTCCTCACAATCGGCTTCTCTTATCGCAGTTTCTCCTCTCGCAAACCTTACAAAGAGTAGCTCGCTCGCTTCGATTGTCGAGCCTATACATGCACACGAATTTGGCATTCACGCACGCATGCATACACGGGAGAGCGCGTCAGGAGGGGGGAGGAAAAAAAAAAAGGAAAACGCAACGCGCCAAAAAGATGAATTAATTCTGCTCGATCCGCTAAATCGCGATCCTAAGTAACGTCTAATTTATAACACCGTCGATCTGTTGTGTTCTGATGGTATCAGTCGCTTTGCTCATCTGTGTCTCCACCTTCCTCTTTTTCCCTCTCTCTTCTCAGTTTGCATAATCGTGCGTTACGTGTTGTCTGTCCCGCTTCGCTGTCTCTCTTTTTGCAGAATTCTACATCGACTCTACGCCAGACCTGAGTGGGCCGATTAAAAAGGGCGAGAAACACGAGTCTAAGTAGAAGGGAAGAGAATGTATTTTAAGTAGTTGCGAGGAGAGAGAATGTGTGAATTTGAGACTTGGATGAGTGACGAGATGAACAATTAAAAAAGCCATTGAATTCGCAAACTCGACTGATCGTCGTTGTAACATATCCTTAAAAAAAAAAAAAGAGAAAAAAAAATTGAAATCAGCCCGCTCGAGGCTGGTCTTGTTACAAGCAATCAGTACACAATAAACGGCGCTTCGACAATAAGAGATACTAATAATTAATCATAGCGGTAATAAGAATAATGGTAATAATAAGAATAATGACAATATAACCGTAATAATAATAATTAATTATAATAATAATAATGAATAATCGCAGCAACGACAGGGTTTTCATACTATGGTGAGGTTTCACTTTTGCTTTTCATGAGCCCAATTTCGTGCAGCGGCAAAGATTACATTCCTATCGGCAGATCGTCCTGCAACGAAAGATGTGAATCGTAAGATTGAATGCAATGTGTATTGATGTGACGCGCAACGCTCGATACTATCGCTACACGCAATTGCTCACGATGCATCGTATGAAAATCCTATGTGACAGTAATAGCGTGTGACAATGCATAACAGTAGCGGTGTGTAACGTCACCGAATATATAAAAAACACAGGTATGGGACTCCGGCACCCCTTTAGTGGACGCTTTAACACTTAGCAAAAAGGTCCGCCGATCACCAATTGCGCAACGTTTGTTCTTAAAACAGCAAACGAAACACCAAAAACTACTCTCTAACAGCCATCTTCTTCTCCGCTATATGTAATTACGCAAAAAAGAAAAAAAAAACATTCGATAGAGACAATAATCAATATAAATTGCCTTAATTCACGTGTGGCGATAGTAGTATTATATTTTTTTTTGTTTTACTTTGATAGTACTTCTCTCACTAGACACGATTCAACATATAGAAAGTTTATCGTTATTATTTAATAATTATTATTTTATCATTTATATAATTATTATCTTAAAGCTGTCTAAAGGCTCGCTGCGTAGCAGGAGCATCATGTTCTTTTTTTTCTTTCATTCATTTTATATTACTTTGCTTATTCTTACGTGTGTCAGACGGTATCTCTTCATTTTTGTTTTTTTGTTTTTTTTTCTTTTATATTTGTCTCTCTCTCTCTCGCCCTTTGCGTTTTGTTTTAGTTAGGTACATTTGTAGTCGTTCTCAATAACATGTTTCTGTTTCGTACGCGCTGTTTCGCGCGGGCATTTTTAGTAAGATAGTATCTCCTTTCTCTCTAGTCACCATAGACATATGTGTGTTTGTATTTATATCTTAATTATCTATTACTTCTGGATGATTTTTTTTTTTTGTGATTTGTAATTTGTATAGATCACAATGTCATACCATCTGCGCCAGTTAACGATTTTCTATGCCTCTTCTTTGTCGCTTACAACGCTCGGTTCGGACAATATACAATGCTTGTGCACAGATTGCAGGTTTGACCGACCTCCTTTTGAAAACAATACAACGCAACTCAGCAAAAGTTCGATCATGAATAGTAAACGCGTGAAATGTGGACGTGTAAAAGCTCGCTAACAATTTGTCGGGATGTATTTTGCCCGCTTCTCGTTAGCTAACAACACGTTTTATATATATATGCATATATATATATGTGTAACAAACAGTCGCTCGGTGCGTTTAAGAAACAATAAAATGAGAAGGACTAAAATTGAGAGAAAACTACACTTAAATTAAAGAGGATCGAGGTTTTTATCTCAATATTTATTTACTCGTGCGTATTTGAATTTGTTATTGTGTGATTTATATCTCACATTATATTCATCAAAACCTACGTGCTAAGTAAATTCAGACCAGCCGAAATTGTCGATTTTTTTTTTTTTTAGAAAAAAATGCAACTGAAGAATAATATATTATCGAAATATAGTATAATAAATTCATAGAAAATAAATAAAGTTTTACTTATCGCGTTGAAAATCTGAACGCGCCAATCACGCACTCAATCGAAATGTAATCGCGCCCAATTAAATAGTACTTTTAATATGCGTGTCTATACGTCTCTCTCTATACGCGTCGTTCAACGTTTATTCGCACCAGTGCGAAATATAGATTTTTATCGTCGGTTTGCCGTTTTAATTGGAAGAAACGCAAAGAAAAAACGGATAGATATCATTGTTGATATTAGCACAGCGTTGCAGAATCGAAGCGTATTAAGATTTCCTTTTCCTCTGGGAGATAACTCGATTGCGTTATTCTCCATCCGTTATTCTCTCAGTCGCCCGTCTTGTAATATTACTTCTTCGTTTCTTTGCCATTTGTTTTGTCTCATCTTTCTTCCTGTGTCGGCGGGAGGGACCCAAGCAACTACAGGCACAACAACACGATTCTCAATTCGATTGATCGTACATTGCTGGAATTGTGCAGTTGCCTGGGTCCGCGCGGACATTGGCATTTCGTTACAATTATATAGTTATATAGATTCTATATAAATACCTATTATGCATTCGTATAATACATACCTAATATGCAATTGTGTTAGAACTCGGCCATCGCTTAAATTTATGTAATTTAATTACATACACGTGCACATCGTCTCTTGTACCGTTCGTTCTTCGCGGAATAAGTATTTCATGGTGGAATATATCTCGTACGTGTCGTGTTATTCTGTGAATTCGGTGTGAAAATTGTCCAAGTTGCGTATTTCGTGATGTCCTGTGTGTGTGTGTGTGTGTGTGTGTGTATGTGTGTGTGTAAATGTATGCGCGTGTGTACATGCATGTGTATGTGTATTTCCTGCATCCTGTAAAAGTGCGCACTCTTACACGCCCTTTTATGAATGATTGCATGCGCATCTTTCGTACGAATCGATGAAACAGAATGTATAATATAATTAAGTTCGTATAATATACATATTAATATGTATTAATGATTTCATATTTTCTCGGCTAGCATCCGTTTTTTCTTTCACCTATATATTATATATTATCTCATCTCTCTTAATGGAGACGTCATTTTTAAACGAGTGTACGAAGTCGCGGTGCAGACAGTAATTATAAATATTAATTCGAATATACGATAATACGCGAATATTTTCGTTCTTTTCTTCTTTTTTTTCCGTTCAATTTAATCATAGTAAACTATAGCAAATTGTGTTACCGAGAAACGTAATGGAGTCGCAAGAGGTATTCAGCAATATTTTATCTACAATTCAAACTGCGACTTTTTGTTCGCGACGGGTGTTTGCCGAAAATATAGCGACTTGCTTTGAAACTTCTTTTATTTTGTTAAATCAATGAGAGACATGCGTACTGCCTACATAGAGATACGATACTTCTTTTTATTTTTTATTTTCCTCGCGACAACCCACACGCTTTTTTTTCCCTTCCTATTTCATCGTGATATAATCGTTAATATAACAACTATTTATTCATAAATTCTGAACGATCAAATTCAATTGTAACGTGATCCACACTACAGTCCATTTCCCGTTTAAGATTCTCGTTCATTCAACGCACACACGTGACAAGAAAAACGCATGGCGAATAAGCGCGCTCTCCGACTGTCTGAGAATGAAAAAAGGGTTAATACGATGAGAAAAATTAATAAAACCAAACAAACATGTGTCCGCAGAAAGCCAGGAAATGAACGGTAGTACTCATAACGTTAATCGATGGCAACTCGTGTTGGCCTAAAGACATCGCGCGATAATTATTATACTCTCGATCCCGTCGTTACATGCTTTTTTTTCTTATTTTTTTACTTTTTTTCTTTTTGTTATTCTGTGTTAGTCGCACGAGCGGCAGTGACTCGTTTTTTCCTCCGTACATACACACACCATCTATCTCTATCCCTTTTTCCCCCTCCATCTTCCATTTTCTTCATCTTCGCGCGCGCGTGAGATACGCCGAGAACTGTGTATTTAATAATACGTTACACTCGCCTGTCTTGCATTTTCTTTCGTTTTCTTTTTTTTATCAAATGTGGCTATACGAACATATATATTCAACAATCGGTTGATACTCTTTGCAATATAATGGCCATATTACAGGCGAGTTTTGGTGTTCGCGCTTGATGGCAATGTGACGATGTGATGCGACGGTGGCGATGACGATGACAGTGACGATATCTCGATGACGGCGACAGTGACAGTAAATGGTGTCGATGACAATGACGATGATGATACCGATGACCATGTCGATGTCGTAGCCGATGAATAATATGATGATGACGACGATGGCATAGACTCTGACAAGTTCTTTTACTTCGCTTAATGACTTGAAAACGAGTTTTTCGAGTTATAATTCCCAAATGTTCGAATTAAGTTAAAGCCTTTTTCACTTGATTAAGGGAGAGTCTAAATTTGGATTGGGGTTAGGCTGTGTGTTCGAGGATGGCGATGGTACCTGTGCCACCACCGAGCCCTTCCCCTCGGACAATACATTCCCTCCTCCACCGCCACTGCCACTGCTGCTGCTAACGCCACCGCCGCCCTCCTTCATCTTTTCGCAATAATCTGCGAATATATCACGGAAACGCGCCCAGGACTTTTCCGGCACGGTGATAGCTGTCCTGAAGTTCGTTTTCACCTGTAAAAATTGTAGCATCGCTTTGCACTATCGTGGACGTGATATTGATAAAAGATCTAGATTATGGTAATCATTAAAAATCTGATTTCGTTCCTTCTTTTATCGTTTTAGGTTTATATAGAACGAAGATAAATAATTTTTGCTGATTTATCTAATAAAATAACCGTAAATATTTCTTACTTTTAGAACTTATCTGCAGATATACGATAAACTCTTCTAGCAATATATAAGATATTGATAAATAGATATAAAATCAATTTTTTATGGATTAAATATTTTTTACTCGAAAAGTAAAATAAAAATGTATGGATAGAAAGGAGATATTAGCAATTTCACTGTTTTTGATATTCATATTTTATGTGCAAATAGCATGCACGTACCTCAGAAATTCTCATATAGATGCCACGGTTGTTCTGACCGATATCAAAATAGAAATTCTTGCTATCCACGCGCATATAACGGCCCTCCGGCAAATCGCCTTTGAAGCCACCGTCGTCCGTCCCAAATTCCTCGAGAAGGTCCGTTAACGCGTCACGAAATTCTATCATACCTTGCGCTGGTATTGCAATTTGCGTTCTGGGACCTCCCCGTGTTATCGTCTGCGACACCTGCAAACAAAGAATATTATACAAGTTATTTCACGCCAGTTTGTTACGCTGTATGCATTTATATCGCGAGAAATTGTTATACATATATCGGATTCCATATGACCCTTCTTCATCAATGACTCTAGAAGAGCTCTATTCGCGTTTTTTTTTTTTATCCGTCGAAAAGAGCACACCTCTTGAGATGAAAGCCGACAAATTCTTCTTATGACTTAGCGTAGAAAGTAAGTACATTGACTGGTACATACAGGGTGACTCACCCGCAGGAAACGGCCGCGAGAATTCTCCTTGAGGTCCAAGTAATATCGCCTGTTATCCTTCACCATCATTTCTGACTTGAGTTTTCCGTCGTCTGGCACGTTCTCCGGATTTGGTGGACCTGATTATCAAGTTATTAGGATTATCACAAACGAAGACGGTTAATGGATTAAGTGTCTCTTCCCGTTACGACAGAGAGAAAAATTCAATACTAGACTACTCGGCAAATATTAAACAATTGCAGTGAATTAAAACAAATTCTAGATTACGCACTAAGACACAAATGTTCACATTTCGTCAACAGATTCCAAATTCAAGTTTCAATGTTATATATTTTATTAGTTATCGATACAGTCGCAATCAATTGTACTCTTCTCCATTCTAGTTTTGACGATATTATAACAACGTACCTAAAGATGCGTAAAAATCGCTAAACGTCGACAAATGGTCCCGAAATTCGGATGCTGTACTGAGTGCCAGATAGATTTGGCTTCTTCTCCCATCCGCTCCAATCTGAAGTAAAAACGATTACACAAAAAAGATTAATTTAAATTCCATTTATCTCAGATAATTTTATTAATGCGTGAGACAGATTTTACTTATGGATTTAAATTGAAAAAGTAAGATGCATACCTCGGCGACTTTGATAAACCTCCCACGTCTGTTTTGCTTTACATCAAGGTAGAACCTTTTGCTTTGAATTTGCAGCATTTTTGTCGCCAGTTCCTGCTCGCTCTGCTGGCCTTGCTGACCTGTAACATAAACAAATATAATTCATTAATGCTAATTGCATGCAGCGGCTTGCATAATAGCGGAATTCAATTTAAAAATAGATTGCTGAATATCTCACTCATTTCGTAAAATATGATCGCTTATGCTCATAGTGTCTTTTTTAAGAAGAATAAATATCACTAATATACATTCGTATATCCTTATTTCGAAATTTTTTAAATTAAATATTTAACGCGTTGCTATGCGGCCGAAAGGTGTATAATATTATTTAGAATATATAAGAGAATTAGTATAGATTCGCTAAATTTAACATCAGAAAAGAAGCCGTTAAAAGATGAAGGAAAAAAAAACTCTTGATCACAATTAACTTAAAATATTCTATTGATTTCTAATACTGCTCGGTGTTGTTGTGATTTTTCGGAGAAACGCAATTTAATGAGAAAGGATCGAAACGGGGTGTCGGAGATGGAAATGGGAACGAGACAAGGATAGCGAGATCGGTAAAGAGGTGACCCAGTGCTTATTGGGTCACTCTATGCTTGCGACCTCCTCCATCGGTTTTCCTCGGGTCACGTCTCTTTTCGGCTACCGAAGCGATATCAGAAAGAAGCTGAAAATATTCGGAACGTGTTAATCGCCGCGCAATCCGCTCCCTGCAAATGGCCTATCCTGTCAGTCGAAATAGAACAAGTAGTTCTCGGTACAACACACGCTAGAGCGATGTTGCTAGTCCTCATCGATCAATAACAGCTGCACCAGAGGAGAGGTCAACGATCCCTTTGGTACCCCACTATCACGATCAGATATGTCTTTTATCACTTTTTATATTACTTTTCCTTCCTTCTTATCCTGAATTTGCTACTCCCCGTTGTGTGTACGCATGTGTGTGTGTGTGTGTCTTGAATAGATTATTCATCCCGAACTCGCTTCAAACGCGCGAGAACTCACGCCAGCGAGATGCAAATGTAGATTACATAGTGGTGGAAAACTCGAAGAACCTTACGTAGAATCTTTCATTGGAAAATGCAATTCTTTTGAATAGTTTAACTTCTCTAACGAGTGTTTTTGTTGTCAAGTTTGTTAGCCAGATTTCTACGTATCTTTTTATGGTACTTTATAGTACTTTTATAAGTTCTCTTCCAGATCATTGCGTGGGCAGCATCAATTCAAATAGTTAAAGAGCAAGTTAATAGAACACAGTTTTACAGACTGTTAAATTTTGTGATGTTACAAAATTGGTCACTGTTCTACTTTTGTCAAAATATAAAAATCTAATGGCACATGTAGTGAGATAAAAATAAATGTAATATAATACAAGCATATTTCAAGAATATAAAACCAAAATAATGATAAAAATACATTAGAAGAAAAAAATTCGTTTTAATTATTATTAAAAGTAGGAAGATTAAATAATAGAAGTTATCTAACTGACACGGCCAGTTTTCTTGCAAAAATATTTAGGGAAGTAATTAAATGGTCAATGAGCTAATGTCAATCGTTCTTTTGTTCGACAATGCATTTGATGTCACAATAGCAAAAATAAGGAACGATTTGGTTACTTCATCTTGAAAGAATAATATGATTGAGGATGCCGGGGATTTGGAGTGCGAAATGAATTGGAAATCTGCGCGAAGTGTGTTTCGATTTATTGATCGATCGTCACGATCGTTAATGTGGCTTTCCATCGTATTATTACGTACTGGACTGTTGCAGATTGCCTGGAATTGGGACAGGGCTGAGATCGCCCTGGAAAATCCTGCTCTTGAACATCCTGTCGATACTACGGTGGTCTGTGCACCTGTACATAATTCGCGCTCGTGTGCGCGCGCGCACGCAATATTCGGTGTCCTTTCTCTTGAATTTAAGAACCGTGTCGCGCTAGATCGTTAAAGCCAGGCCGAACAAAACCGCATTAATTGACAAATGCCTCGTCACTTGTATTGATTTTTTCTGTCTACTCCTCGCCTTTCCCTTCCTCTTGGTCGCAGCTTTCCTCGTATTTCAAGCACAGTAAATTCTTCGCGGCGAGATTTTTCATTCTTTACGTCTGGAGACGAGTAATTCTACACACGTGTCCTTCTCCTCCAAGTTCACTCTCATAGACTTCTCGTTCATGTGTTTCCGTTCATGAACTCCTGGTTCAGTGCATAGCTCTCGTTGGAAAAACTCGAGAGAAAGATTTCGCTCCTCCATATTCGATAACTTAATTGCACGAATCTTTCCCAACTCCATTCGTGTTAAATTTTGAATGTGCTTTCGCGATGATAGAGGCGCGAGGATCCTCCACTGTTCTCAGGTCGATCGATGAGTGTATCGGGACCATCAGGTTGGCGGTGACAAGAGAGCACTCTTTTTTCTTTTTTTAATCTTCTAATTTCCAGCAGTCATCCCTTTCCTCGATACTGACCGTCTATCGATACCTGCTTGTCCTCGCCTGACAGCTCGAGGTTAAATAACGACAACGAGGACAAAACAAGTCTCGCGTGCACTTGTCTCGCGAAACCTGCATTTTCACCACGTTGCCCTATATTTCCCGGAGGCTTCTCTCTCCGCTTGGTCGATGACTGTTGCATCACCACTACCGCATTCCACTCCCCTGCACCTTCGTTGCGCGTAAGGTGCTCCTCCTCGGCTTGCTCCCTCGGTTGCCCCCGTGATCGGCGTCCACCGTCGATGTCACGTCAATCCGCGTCCGAATCTGACCTTCCGATTATCGGCCTGATATCGACGGGCTGGAGAGCACCTTTCAATCCGCTCGTGAATTCAGTTCGGCGCAATTTCGCACGCAAATCACGCCTCTCCTCCGCCGCTTCGAACAACTGCGTCACTTTTTACAACGACACTCCTCGAATCTTGTTTCCTTTTGCGGCGTGCATTCCTAGAATCTCGTACAATTCGCGAATACACTCGCGATTTGATTTTCTCGCATTCCTCCTTCCGCCCGTCGTCTTTTCATGCACATGCATAGAACGACGTAGATACTTTGCTGATGCAAAGGATGTCCCATGCTGAAAGATGTCTGTGCGATATATACAGCAGTAATGAAGTAGAACGGCGGAATTTATACGAATCCCGTGCCATCCTTCTTTTTCTTCAATCGATTTTTTTCTCTAACGTTTCCTATCTTTTTTCGTCTCCCTCTTCTTTCTTTTCTCTCCGGACTCCACCCTCGATTCCTTCTAGGTCACCATTTATTACTCGGCGACTTGCCGTTTCTCATTGAAGCTTTTGATCACGAGCGACAGCGTGCAGGAAAATGGAGGAAAGCACTGTCTGTGACACCATTCATGAGAATAGCTTTCGTACTATAACACAAACAAAACATATATAGTCTATTTTGCGATCAATTATGAACATACGACGTCATCATCTTGCTGGTTTACAGAGAATATTTTTTTTCGCATAGCCGACAGCTGGAAGATCCTTTCGCAAGTGTCCAGATCGCGATGAAT